AGAGGGTCGGTGTGTTCATCCTCAGTAGTCCAAATTAGATCAAACTGGCTGTTTTTTTAATTCCTTGACGGTCTATTGTGTTGCCTTCCTCATGTAATGAGAGGGAGGACTTCATGGATAGAACATGAACTTAATTTACCCGACGTTTTGGATTCCAACCCTAAATCATAATAACTCGTGGCAGCCAAGAACAGCTGATGCAAAGGGTTTACATTGTCGTACAGTTACCACAAATATAAAAAAACAAATGGGAAAAAATGAGCAGCAGTTATGCAAATGTCGGTTGACTAAGCCTCCAGTAGGTGACTTGTACTAGTAGACATTTCCCCAAACCAAAAGAGAAATATTAACTCACCAAACATCCGACTTGCTGGTAAACAGGCCTTCGAGAATGGCTTCGGGGGACATCCAGCGTACGGGCAATTTCGGCTCATTGCGTTTGCGGTAGTAGTCGTTCTTGTAGACGTCCCGTGCCAAACCAAAGTCGCACAGTTTTACAATCCTGCCGCTCTCGTGATTGTGGCTTACCAGGCAGTTTCGCGCGGCAATGTCCCTAGTGGTTTATAGATAAAAAAACTTTGTCAGAAGACTGCAGGGACTGCTTAATTTCCCGACATATACAGTTATGCAGATGTTGTAAATGATTGTGAAATCCCCGAATGAGGAGCAAATACTTTACCGAACGAATAAAGGAACTAAACCAATAGACCGGCAGCTAACACCTCGGGTATTTCAAATCTCTTTCCTTCCTATTGCCCTTCCAAAAGTCGATTCTGACTGTTAAATCGAAAATGGAAAAAGTTCCGAACTAAAATTCTCACAACCTCCAGTTCCTTAGCACAGTTCAGGATTCAAAAGAGAAAGATGACGACAATTTTGCTTCACTACTGCATTAAAAAAAGCCCTGATGCGCGGCATTACGCCAAAGTCAATGACAGCAAAAACTTCTGACGAACAATATTCAAGTACATGACCATTGAAAGCCAACCAGCATTCGTTTCTTAAGGGACTCGAAATTAAAAAAATTGCAAAGCGAAGTAGGAGTTTAGGTATGTGCAGGCCTTTTTAAGCGTATGCAAAATCTTGAAGGAAACGTCTCGCGGTGTAGACTTTAAAACCATTTTTTTTCTACATGGGGGAGAAAATGTGTTGGGAAAATCATGATCCAATTGTTCGATGCGGGCACTACGCCTTTGGTAATAGTCAGAAAGTCGAGGAAACAAACAATCGTATGAGAATGCAGACTAAGTCATATTTAAGTAGTCACGCTCGTCCGCATTTCGAAGGGTAAAGAGGTGGAAATTCACTGGCATGCCCAGCAGCAGTGTTTGCACTTCATTATAGTAGCAAGTCAGCCCGCGGGAACTGAGAGCTCGGAGGTTTTGGTTTGGAATTCTGCGTACTGTACTGCTGGTCGGTTCTAAAAAAACAGTCAATCGATCTGACTGTCTTATTCATAAGTGAACTACCGGCCGGAGCTTCTGAAAGGAGTCGTTTGGGACAGGTTTCAGCTGCTAGAAATGTCTACTAGAGGGAAAGTGAGATCATTTGAGAGTATATTAACAAACAGACTGATACCCACAATTCCAATGTCTGTTTGTAGCGTTGGGAGAGAGTGCCAATAAAAGCGAATAGGCGAGTTCCAGGAAGCAGTTCAGAAATAGAAGATGCGATCGCCCGAACAAGAAGTTTATTTGCCTGACGTTTCATATCCTCTTGAGAACCCTTCATCAGGGGTACTCGGTGGGACCCGACGGGACCCGGCCAAATTTTCAAGTTTATCAAGCCCGAAATCCTCGCAAGAGGTGACAACGACATTATTGGTGACCTGCTTGAGTCATGGTTCTCAGTCTCACAATAAATTAACAAGCACAACGACTTGCCATTCCCATACTCCGTACTGAGATATTGTTTGAGCAGGCGAATCAGTCACGTGGGAAGGGCCGGATCCAGCAACAACTCCGACGACAGTGAACATAATTTTCGCGTAATTAGCATGCCTGTACCCAACACGGATGACGAAATGACGGCAATTAACGACTGGGAAGTGGACTGCCAAGCCATCATCATCACGACCCCCCGATGGTGGTTATAAGAGCTGACAATTATAGTATGCATGTGGTCGCGTGGCTACTACGAACTAAAAATACTGCGTAATCTGTGCATATATCACCCTATTTTACGGTTACCTCTAATGAAGGGTTCTCGACAGAGTTCGAAAAGTCAGGCGAATAAACTTCATTTTCCAGCGATCGCGTCTTCTACTTCTTGGGAGAAAGTATTAGATGTGTAGGACCAGTGAGTGTAACATAATTGCAAGTCCATGGTTTCTGTTGATGGTCCCTTCTTTGATTGTGTGATAGCTACCACTTTGTGCTATACAGGCAAATTAATTATTCTTTTCCACAAAAAAAGACAGCTGCTGCACCGATAACATTTTCGCACAAACAAAATCAGCTAATAAGAAAGCACGCATGGGTAAACAGAGCCACAACAAAATACTTCTAGTTAGGGTACATACTTTTGTAATCGAAAATAACAACAACGTAGTCAGAATGCTAACTTTGGTCCGCGAGGGGTCTCGAATTTCTAGCGGCAAAACCACGACCTTTATCGGAACCAGAAACAAAAATCAATATTTCTTTGCATTGTAAACGTTTTGATCACGGACTGAAGTGTGGCATGTACAGTAGTCGCCTAAGACCATGCAACGTTCATCATGAAATGTGACC